AGTAAGTTTTATTAACACGTTAGTGTTTAAAATAAAACTTCAGTAAATTAAAGACGCTGCTGGAAATGAAGAGGTTAGACTTATATTAACTAAGATAAAACATTCATCGTCTTCATGACACATTTACACTATCTGGAACTATAATACGAATTATAAGCCCATGTTATTTTGGCATAAAGGTACATTACCATAAATGGTTTCCATGTTGGTCATTCTATCACTCGATGGTCCGTTGAAATTTGTTGCTAAAATATAATCGTGGAAAACTCTTAGAATACGATTTGTTATCTCGATCTGATCGCAAGAAAAACTTCTACATTTATAGGTTCATAATAATTTAACATCAAGGTACATTACCATGAGTGGTTACCATGCTGGTCGTTCGATCACTCGTTGGTCCGTTTGTGTTTGTTGCTGAAACATATAAACGGTGAAAACTGTTAGACCACGATTTATGTTATTTCGATCTTCTCACAAGAAAAACTTGCACATTAAGATAATATATGTTCGTTAGGTGTTTAGAATAAGACTCCACTAAGTTATATTAACATAAGGCGCTGCTGCAAAATAAGAGGTTAGACTTATATTAACTGACATAAACTATTCTTTAACATCATCATCGATAGGGATCGCGATGGAATGGTTGACATTTACAAACTATCATTGAGCTATTAAAAAACTAATTTGACATCAAGGTACATTACCATGAGTGGTTTCCAAGCTAGTCGTTCTATCACTAGTTGGTCCGATGGTGCTTGTTGCTGAAACATATAAACGTTGAAAACTGTTAGACCACGATTTATGTTATTGCGATCTTCTCACAAGAAAAACTTGCACATTAAGAGAGATGTCCGTTATGTGTTTAGAATAAAACTCCAGTAAGTTATATTAACCTATGGCGCTACTGCAAAAGAAGAGGTTAGACTTATATTAACTGACATATACCATTCTTTAACATCATTATCGACAGGGTTGGCGATGGAATAGTTTCATTTTACAAATTATTATTGAGCTATAATACGAATTATAGGTTCATAATAATTTGACATCAAGGTACATTACCATGAGTTGTTTCCATACTGGTCGTTCTATCACTCGACGGTCCGTTGGAATTTGTTGCTGAAAAATGCACGTGGGAAATTGTTGGATTATGATTTATGTTATTTAGATTAATTAATTAATTAATGCATTCATTCATTTTAGTGTTTTTACAGCAGAGCCTATGATTTATGTTATATAAGTCTTATTACAAGAAAACATCGCACATTTAGAGGGAATATTTACGTTAGTGTTTGAAATAAAAGTCCAGTAAATCATATAAACAAGGCACTGTTGTGAAAGAAGAGGTTAGACTTTTAGACATTAACTGACAGTAAACCATTCATCATCACAAACAGGGTTCGTGATTGAATGGTACACATTTACAAACTATTATGGAACTATAATACGAATTATAGGTCCATTGGCATAAAGGTACGTTTCCAAGAGTGGTTTCCATGCTATTAGGCGCTGCTATAAAAGCAGTACAATGAATGAATGAATGAATTAATTAATTTATTAATTATATAACGAATGAATGAATGAAAGAATGCAATTAATTAATTAATTAATTCAACCAACCAACCAAACAACCAATCAACCAACCAATCAACCAACCAACCAACCAATTAATTAATCAATTAATTAATTTATTCATTCATTCATGCAACGCAGTTGATAAAATTATCATTGAGTTATAATACGAATTATAGGTCCATAATAATTTGACATAAACATTTTTCAATTAGTGCCCCGATAAATCGCTAAAAACTGCTTTAATTAAATCAATACTCTGGTTATCTCATAAATGGCCTAGCCTGGGTCTAGACTACGGCCGGAAAAATCACCTTATTGCTTATCTCATGGTAATATATATATTCCATGCGTATATGAAGCAGGTATTAAAGTTGTATATCATAAACTAGATGCATTAAAAACGATAAGTTAGTATTATTTTGACCTCGAGGTACATTACCATATGGTGTTTTCATAGAGGTTGTTCTATCACTCGATTCTTCGCTGGATACTTTATCTGAAACATACAATAAACGTGATCAATACCAATACCAATTATCATTGGAAATATTATTAGATATACTTAGATATATGTTTCAATTATTTTTCTTTTGCTAAATGACCACCAATTATGAGTCTTTCTTCTGGGACGATAGTCCCCTTGGGCCCCTGTCATGCAATCAACCGGGCCCTGAATTTGAATCACCTACTGTATAGGGGAATTGGATAATACGGTTCACATTTTGATAATCTTTGGCGTTTGAGTTTTGTGTATACTTTACTGTAATTCATTGTCCAATATTAATAGAATTAAAAAAAAAGTCACATAGATCTACGTAAAATGTTATATGAATAAGTAAGAAATATAAATTTTACTTTATTATATAAAAAATTCATATTGTTAACGACCATTATGATATTTTGAAACCGATTGCAAGCCCCTAATTCAAATTATTTCATTTCTCCAATGACCAGAACATAAACTCTGTCTTACAAAATCTGCTTGAGCCATAGCAAAAAAATTGCCATGCCCCACTATCTTCATCATTCCTGAATGCGGTCCACTTTTGAACAGTATAATAATAATAATAATAATAATAATAATAATAATAATAATAATAATAATAATAATAATAATAATAATAATAATAATAGACGATTGAGTATATAGCGCGCAGATAAACATAAGCCTAGTCTCTAAACGGTAGGTTCAAGTAAACTAACTCTTGATCCGCTGGGTTCGATTCCCACCTGAATCACTTATATTTTGGGAACGTACTGAGTATGATAAAACGTCAGGTAGGTCAAAACATCACTCCTAATATGCCTAATGATGATAATTATGATGATGATGGTGATGACAATAATAATGATGAGGATGATATCATCAAGTTGATAAGACATTTTACTATAATGGGGGCATTACCATGAGTGGTTTCCATGCTGGTCGTTCTATCACTCGTTGGTCCGTTGGTGTTTGTTGCTGAAACATATAAACGTTGAAAACTGTTAGACCACGATTTATGTTATTTCGATCTTTTCACAAGAAAAACTTGCACATTAAGAGAATAAATGTTCGTTAGGTGTTTAGAATAAGACTCCACTAAGTTATATTAACCTAAGGCGCTGCTGCAAAATAAGAGGTTAGACTTATATTAACTGACATAAACTATTCTTTAACATCATCATCGACAGGGATCGCGATGGAATGGTTGACATTTACAAACTATCATTGAGCTATAATACGAATTATAGGTCCAAAACTAATTTGACATCAAGGTAAACATTACCATGAGTTGTTTTTTGTTGGAATTTGTTGCTGAAAAATGCACGTGGGAAATTGTTGGATTATGATTTATGTTATTTAGATTAATTAATTAATTAATGCATTCATTCATTTTAGTGTTTTTACAGCAGAGCCTATGATTTATGTTATATAAGTCTTATTACAAGAAAACATCGCACATTTAGAGAGAATATTTACGTTAGTATGAAATAAAAGTCCAGTAAATCATATAAACAAGGCACTGTTGTGAAAGAAGAGGTTAGACTTTTAGACATTAACTGACAGTAAACCATTCATCATCACAAACAGTGTTCGTGATTGAATGGTACACATTTACAAACTATTATGGAACTATAATACGAATTATAGGTCCATTGGCATAAAGGTACGTTTCCAAGAGTGGTTTCCATGCTATTAGGCGCTGCTATAAAAGCACTACAATGAATGAATGAATGAATTAATTAATTTATTAATTATATAACGAATGAATGAATGAAGGAATGCAATTAATTAATTAATTAATTAATTAATTAATTCAACCAACCAACCAACCAACCAATCAACCAACCAACCAACCAACCAAACAACCAATCAACCAACCAACCAACCAACCAACCAACCAACCAACCAACCAATTAATTAATCAATTAATTAATTAATTTATTCATTCATTCATGCAACGCAGTTGATAAATTATCATTGAGTTATAATACGAATTATAGGTCCATAATAATTTGACATAAACATTTTTCAATTAGTGCCCCGATAAATCGCTAAAAACTGCTTTAATTAAATCAATACTCTGGTTATCTCATAAGTGGCCTAGCCTGGGTAAATATTATTAGATATACTTAGATATATGTTTCAATTATTCATCATCATTCCTGAATGCGGTCCACTTTTGGACAGTATAATAATAATAATAATAATAATAATAATAATAATAATAATAATAATAATAATAATAATAATAATAATAATAATAATAATTTGATTGAGTATATAGCGCGCAGATAAACATAAGCCTAGTCTCTAAACGGTAGGTTCAAGTAAACTAACACTTGATCCGCTGGGTTCGATTCCCACCTGAATCACTTATATTTTGGGAACGTACTGAGTATAATAAAACGTCAGGTTTATGATAAAACGTTAGGTCAAAACATCACTCCTAATAGGCCTAATGAGGATAATTATGATAATGATGGTGATGATAATAATAATGATGAGGATGATATCATCAAGTTGATAAGACATTTTACTATAATGGAATTTAAAAAATGGAATGAATTGCAAAATTGTTTAAAGGAAATTGAAAACCATAATACATTTAAATATTTACTTAAAAAACATTTAATAAAAACATAATGTTTTTTTATTTGCTTCTATTTTTATTGGTCGAGGACACCTATAGAAACAAGCTCATAGTGCTTATAGGGTTATCCTCTTGCTCTCATTTTTGTGTATTTATGTTTTTGTGTTGATGTTATAATAATGAGGGCAATAAATAATAAACAAACAAAAAATGATGATGATGTTGATGATAATAATTATGATAATGAGGAGAAGAAGGTTTTCTACACATCTGGGTGGTGAATGTGTATTTTATGAAATATCTACTCTTTCCCGTCCATGACGCCGCCATTGGTTGGTGAATGTGTATCTTTTATAGAAGCAGAACAGCAACCGCCACGCCAAAACACCGCCAAGCCTCTAATCTTACACAATTCTTCCTTTTCCTTTATTTTAATCAAACAACAAAGTCTAACAAAAGTCGGACACATACACTGACACACAAAAAGAACAAAAACCAAAATAAAAAATAAACAAACAGCACCTAAAACCCATCACGCCCTTCTTTAAGCATTAAATATTTTCTTGAATCTCTCTAATATAAATCTAAGGTTTTTGTAGTGAGGTTTACTATTTTGTATTTTGCGGGCCTAAATATAATATTTTGTTAAAAAGCAAAATATAATTTTTTATACTTGGTAAACTTTTGTCGCCAAAACTAAAATGAGTTTAAAATGAGTAAATTTCCTGGTATATTTCAAACACAAAGTTTTTCACAAAAACCCATAAAGGGAAACACTTCTTACAATGCACAAACACATGCAGTAAATTTTCTTTTACAATTCACCTAATAGTAATAATGAATTGGTTTTTACCTAAACAACGTGGACTCTTGTAGCCAGAGTGGCATTCTGCACCCTCCTCACAGCCTCTGGAATGATCACACTTGCTAAAGTCACAATGACAATCTTGTAAACAGTCAGCGCCATACTTGCCATTTTTACATTCTAAATATAACAACATAGTTGAAAATAATAATGCTATTTATTATAAATACAGTTTAAGAAATGGTACTATATTGCATTATACGTTATAAATACATTTTTAAAATACATCTTTATATACAGTGGTTTTATTTGATTTATAATTAATTTTTGTTGTGAGTTACATTAGTAATTACAGTTCAAATTACTGATGTTTCGTGGACTGTCAGTCCATATGCCGATGTGTAGAAAATTTTTAAATAAGACATTATACTGGAATTACTATTATTACTGGCTATATTATTATTATTATTATCATTATTATTATCAAACTTATTTCATTTCGTTAGGCCTATTTTTAATATTGTTAATAGATTTATCTATGACGTGCACGTCAATATTTACAAAGTTATTAGAACGAAATAATAATAATGTTATTTTATTAGTTTAACCATTGTTGAGTAAAATGTTATTCTATATTATTGGGAAAAAAGTACAGTTAAACAATCTTTAATTATATTTTTATAATTTAAAGGACTATGTTATTTACGAAAACAGATATTTTACATTTATGTTACCTCTAAAATTATCATAAACATTATTGAGAACTTTCGGTTTAAAATGAAGGAAGAATTTTTAAATTTCAATCCGTTATAAACTTACTCGTTTGACAGTCAGTTCCGTTCCAGCCAGAGTGACAGGCACAGCCTTGTGGCATTGGTGGGCAAACCAGTTTCCTTTTGCATCCGTTATTATTACCAGTTGGGTGGCACTCCTCGTCGCTTCCAAGTATGTTGCCAGTAGCTGTAAACCAAAAACAACATCTACAGTGCAAACCAAATCGTTAAGAAGTTGCTAAATATTTTCATGTCGAAAAAAAACTAAATAAATATAAACTTTACTAACCTGCTTTTGATGATCTTTTTTTCTTCGTAACATGAACTTAAAAATGAGATTTTTTTAGCTTTCTGTTATGTACATTATGTTTTGAAGTACTGAATAAATAGTGAAAAATCAAATGATAATGATAATGAAGATATTAATATTTTTAATGGTGATATTTATGGTTATTGGTGATGATACGTGATAGTGTTGTTATGGCGATGATTATGTTTATAATTTTTGTGATAATACATGAGTAATGTTATGATGATAGTGATATTTTTGGTTATTGGTGATGATACGTGATAGTGTTGTTATAGTGATGATTATGTTTATAATTTTTGTGATAATACATGATTGATGTTATGATGATAGTGATATTTTTGGTTATTGGTGATGATACGTGATAGTGTTGTTATGGTGATGATTATGTTATATATTTTGTGATAATACTTGAGTAATGGTTATGATGATAGTGATATTTTTGGTGATTGGTGATGATACGTGATAGTGATGGTCATGGTGATGCTTATGGTTATTATGATGATACGCGATAGTGATGTTATGATGATAATTATGTTTATAATTATCGTGATAATACGTGAGTAATTGTTATGGTTATAATTTTAGTTATTGTGATGAGGTGATAATGATGGAGATGGTTATGATGATAATGTTGGTTATTGTGATGATACGTGATAATGTGGGTGAGTGAAGGTATGTCTAAGGTTATTGTGATGAACAAATTATATTATGTTGATTTAATGTGATGGTTATGGTTATTGTGATATTGATGGTATATTGTGATGGTATGCCATCGTGGCAGTATAGGCTATACAATAAATATTAGAACAGTATAATTTATGCATTTTTGATTTGGAAACAATATTATGTTGCTGGTTTATTGATAACGTATACTTAAAAATGCCTACTAACAAAATTCACGTATTGAATCATATTAATGAACACTATAAAGCATGATCATCCATATTTATAAAATTTCGGATGTTATATACAAAACATAGGCAATGCTTAATAAATTTCAAAATAAACACAATTTTGTCAAAAGTAAATCCTTCTAGTCCTGCATAAATCACCCTTCAAATAGATAATGAAATTTAAGTATGCTGTACACTGTTACTTTCAATGAGTTTAATATTGAAATTACTCCTAGCAAATTAAGAGTGTATTCCTTAATTTACTCACGTATTTCGCAATTAGTTCCTTCAAATCCCGAAGGGCAAATACAGTTTCCGATGTATGTATCACATACCCCTCCATTGTAGCACACCTCGCAGCTCATGTTGCATTTAGGCGGAGACCATTTATTATGTGGACACTCTGAAACACAAGTCAATCCTGTTAAATACAATGTTAATACTAAATGAATGCTATTAAGTAGATGAAACCAGAAAATCATTGTTTGATGGAATGTCAAAGATAAAAGAAGATACTTTTTCCAATATTCTGAAGTAGGCTAAACTTGCCAGGGGTGAAATTACTGGGGTGGGGCTAAGCATACTTCTCCAAACATTTTACTGTGCAGGTTTATCAATGTAAAATAATATATAACTAGGCCTAATACTGGAACGTTAACTTGCATCTAAACATCCTAATATTTTGATGAGGTGATAGTCTACTCTAACTTTTCGACTTCGGTGAAATTTATTGAAACTTTCATTGGATTAAAAATATATAGCTATTTTAATTAAAGTACGAGACTGCATCATTTCCGGATGTCTACAGATGCAATATCTTAAATCGTTCACACCTCAGCCCCGACCATGGTGGGGCTGAGGTGGGTAGGGTGTCTCTTGATATATCGAATTATAAGGTTACCATTGTTACCCTCTCACCTCCTAAATGTCAACATGAATTCAAAGGTCTACCAACATTTTATTTAAAAAAATGATTCACTTCTAATTATCAAATTAAGACACATTGAAAACATCTTCGAAGTATGAGAACGACATTACGGTACTTAAGTCAAACATAGCGGGGCTCAGGAAGTTTGACTTTTGACTACGAAATCAAAATTCTGTAATGTAAAATAATGGCCGTGTGGAAGTTATTAAAATGAATCAATGATACATCCTACCTCTTACAATCAGCTGCATAAAAGCATGGTTTTTCCTTTCATTTTCATCATAACATTCATAAATCCCAGCATCAGCTACGGAAATCGTGTCGAATAAAATCTCCGCCATATCGTTCCATTTTTGGATTAAATCTCCGTCCTTCATCCATTGTAATTTTATATTAGACTCTCTTCTAACGCCCAACGTAACGTTGATATCACCTGCACTGACGGTCTTGGCACGAACAATCGGTTTTACATCGGCTTTGGAAATAAAAATAAATGTACTGTACGTGAGTTCCTTTGCATTTCATAAAAGCCATGAAAAAAATATGGACCAAAAAATAAGAAAATTTTAAAAATTAATTATGCCATGGAAAAGGAGAAACCTTAATTAGTTTGTTAGGCAGAGTAAGAGTTATCAATACTCTAGGTCTGTCTCAATTAACGTACGTCGCAACTTCTATCCCAGTACCATCTTTCGTTTTCAAAGAGATAGATTCAATTATCTTCAAGTTTTTATGGAATGATAAGCCTGATAAAATATCAAGGAAAATTATTATTGGAAAAACCAAATATGGAGGCCTAAATCTAGGAGACTTTTAATGTGTGTATGATTCTTTAAAAGCAAGCTGGCTGAATAGAATTTTGCTAAGCAAAGGAAATTGGAATATGGGAACCAATTGTTTAATTGTGCACATGAATATTGAAGATAAAAGCTCTTGGCTCTTTACCTCCTTTTTTTTTTTTTTTTTTTTTTTTTTTTTATCAAGGAGTAATCTATGCCTGGCATAACGCTGAAAGACGCAAAAGAGCTTTCAAATGCGAAGGAAGCGAAACAACAGATCATTTGGGGGTAATTGGTTCATGCAACAAAACAGTTAATCAAAAAATGTAACTGTTTTTTAAAAATTGGATAGATGGTGGGTTTATATATATAAATGACTTACTGGATGTTAATGGAAGAGTATGTCCTAAATATATTAAAAGTTAGCTTAATAATAACATAAATTAGCTTACGGAATTAAACATTATTATGGAATGTATACCAAAGCAATGGAAACAATGGTTAGACTTATATAGGAAAATTCATCATCATCGATCTAATTAATCGCTGTGATGTACCATAGAAAATATTACTTCATGTGCCGAAAGCCGATCTTATCTTTTTCTCAGTTCTCAAACTATAATAAAGGCACGCGCACTCGAGTCGAGTATTATTTCATATTTTTCATAATTTTATTTCCTCACATGAGATGGTAGTTAACAAAGGGAGATATTCCCTGTACAAGTGTCAACTACCAAAGCATAGAATAATAATAATATAATAATAATAACAGCAACAACAATAACAATAATAACAATAATAATAACAATAATAATAATAATAATAATAAAAATAATAATAATGATCACAGAAATAAGTAAAATTATAATAAGAATATTATTCATAATAATGATCACAGAACTAAGTATAATAATCATAATATAGTGATTGATTATTGATTTCTAAATGTCATTAAGAGATTTTTTTCGGAATGTGGAGATAGATGGCGATTGTCTGCAGGCTGAATTGATGTTGTTCCATAGCAAAGGGGTATTGTGAAAAAATTAAAAATGCAGTGCATTGGGATGTGGTTTGCGCGTATTAAAAAATAAGAAGGAGGTAACCGAAATGTTAACACAGCCATGAATAATTTTGTAAATGAACATAAGGCAAAGGAAATTTCTTCTATCTGTAAGAGATAAGAGGTTAAGGTGAGTAAGGCGATCCGTGTATTGAATGTATCCGGTTTGGTGGGGGAATCATGGAGTTTTTAAGAAATAGCGAGTGAAGTTTCTTTGAACGGTTTCAATATTTTCAATATTTAATTTAAGGTGAGGATTCCAGACAGTGCACGCATATTCCAATAATGGCCTAACTAAAAATTTAAAAGGAACAAGAGAAAGGGGATGTGGGCCACAAGTGCGTTTAATTAAATTAAGTGTGCACAGTGCTTTTGAAGTAATGCAACTTATATGTGCGTTCCATTTAAGGTCGGATGAAATGGTAACTCCAAGGTATTTGTGCGTGGTAACTAAGGACAGAGGGGTAAAATTTATGGTATAGTTTAAATGGATATTTTTTTTTTCTAGTGATACACATGGTTTTACATTTGCTAGCAGTTAAGGGTCATGCTATTAAAATGGCTTCATTGAAATATGTTATTAAGGTCATTCTGGAGAGTGGTATGGTCATTAGCGCTTCGGATGGGTCTGTAGATAAGCGAGTCGTCTGCATATATGAACATTGACGTACCGGGAGAAATTGACGAAATTAAGTCATTAGTAAATATAAAAAAGTATAAAGGTCTTAGTAGTAGCCTGGGGTACTCCAGATGTCACGGTAACAAAATTTGAAATGCTGCCTTGAAAACGGACACATTGAGATGTTAGTTAGGAAGTGTTTGGTCCAAGACCACAGTTGCCTTGAGAAACCTGGCATGTAACTTAGGAAAGTGTGGTGGCTCACTTTGTCAAAAAACACGAGTAGCCTTTACGGAAACCAAATTGAAAGGGTGAGATAATGGAATTAGATTCAAGAAAATTATACACATGATTATAAATAAGGCGCTCCAGGATTTTACAAATGACAGATGTTGGTGCAATTGGGCGGTACATTTTTATGTCCATTTTTTCACCAGTACCTTTGTATATGGGGGACACACATGAGGTTTTCCAAGCAGTGGGGATGAACCCAACGGAAAGGGTAAGGTTAAATAAGTCGGCAAGAGAATAAGAAATGACATCTGCTCTGGGTTTAAGGGTTCTAGCAGATATGCCATCAAGACCAGGTGAGCTAATATTTTTAAGCTTAATAATAATACTATGGATGGACTCAGGAAGTATGAAAAGGTTTTCCATAGGTGAGTTATGAGCAGGATAATCAGAGTAAATTGGCAATACACGTTCATCAATAGTAAAACATTGTTTAAAATAAGTATTAAAAGCTTGTAATACTTTAGTGGATGACTGTAATAACACACCCTCATACATAAAATCAGATGGAGGGCTGACATTCCGTTTATTCTGAACAAATGATCAGAATCTCTTAGGATTGGATTTGAAATTATCTCCAAGCTTATCTAAGTATAACCTGTAACTATGTCTGGTAAGTTGACGAAGCTTCTTACGAATTTTAGTGAATTTTTCCAATGAATGCTTTCTTTACAAGAACCTTTTTTTCAAATTTTTCTATAAAGATATTTTTTCTTATGTGAAAGATGAACAATATTTGAGGTTATCCATGGATTTCTTGGCCTACCCTTGTACTTAATACGGGGGACAGCATCGTCAATACATCATGTTTGGAAAATATTTGACCAACATTCCCATACATTGTCTCAGAAGCATTTTAGCATATCATTCCATGGAGCATTTATAACATTATGTCGTAGTCGAACAAAATCAGCCTTTGTAAAGTCATATCTATTTTGTTGGTAATTATGTTTACAATAAGGCAATGGTAAGTTAAGTGTAATATTTAGTGACAGGTGATCGAAAGTTCCCAAAGGATGATTCACGGAACCGTCATATACAAAACTGATATCGTTACATAAGAACAGATCTAATATATTTCCCTATTCACCATTACAGTTAACAACAGGAAACATGGGTAGGAGACTGTACCAGTTGAATAAGCCCTAGACTATTAAAACCATTAAGTATAATTTGAGTAGTATTATTATTGGTACAAATAACATTCTCTTTCCAATTGATGGAACTGAGGTTAAAATCACCAGCTTAGAAAATACAGTCAAAATTAGATTGGTTGTTACTTATATAATTTAGGGATGCAGCTATCTCTTCTGAAACAGATATTATCAGCTAAGGGGGGCCTATAGCAACAACCAATAACAAACTTTCTTTTGTCACATGTGAAAGATACCCATATAATTTCAGCAATGGAGGATGTAGAAACTAAAGATGGTCTTAAACTATTTTTAACTGAAATTAACACACCTCCACCTCTTGACAATCTATCCTTACGAAAAGTTGTAAAATGGTCGGAAAGTATCTCACAGTTATCAACTGAATCATCTAGTCATGTTCCACATAAGGTTAAGATGTCTGGATTATGAGTATTAATAAGAATATCTAAGTCAAGAAGTTATTTTTAATGCTTCTGCAGTTAGTACTGTAGAGTTAATTGAAGCTAGATGAGGCAAACTGGTTGAGCGATGGTGATGATGACGATGATGAGCTTTCACTTGAGTTTTTTTTTTTTCAAAAAAAGAATCTGAAAAGTCAGGCAGACGACAGCGAATACAGTTCCAGTAGGTTTCATTGGATGAGTGGAACTTAAATTCATTAATAGTGAGTCACTGCAGACATGATGTGTTGTATGACGTACATAACTTATTCCCTGTTGTCACATCCAGCCGCCGTGTGGCGCTGTTTATCGTTGAGTTGCGAATAAAACGGTTGTCAAGCAGACGGCCATTGAGTTATTACAATCTGGTTTTAGTGTCTTCCATTATACTTTTATTGTAACAAACAACATGGTGTCAGAAGTGGGATATTACATCAAATGGATTAGATGAAATTACAAAGAAGAACCTACCACGACGTAGAATCTCACAAATCAACACAGTTGACAAGAAAACAAAGTTTTCAGGCCCTGGTAATTTTTTATCCAAGCTGCAAGCTCACTTCACACCCACTCGAAACGTTTTGTACGACAGATTTATATTTCATGGTGCTGAACAACAACCAAAAGAAAACATCAGTCAATATGTACATAGACTGAAAAAGTTGGCAGAACCATGTAAATTCGGAGCACTCAACGATGAAATGATAAGGGATCGTTTAGTTTTAGGTGCATGGGACAAAACAGCTAGAGCCAGATTGTTCTGCAAGAAAGAATGCAACCTGGAAAGGGCAATTGAATTGCTTAAAGTCAGTGAAACAACGACGCAGCAGCTATCGGAAGTAGCTGGTAATGAAACACAGGTGGTGAATTTTGCAAAGAGTCAAAAGAGTACAAAAAAAGTCAGACAAACCAACAACAAAGAAAAAACATGGCAAAACCACTACAACAAAGATTAACAGCACACGGTCAGGTACATGTCGATATTGCGGGAAAGTTCACGAATTTAAGAATGAAAAATGCCCAGCCTATGGAAAAAAGTGTGGAAAATGTGGTCTACAGAATCACTCCAAAGAGATGTGTAGAACAAAACAAAGAAAAGCAGTTGGCAACAGAGTAGAAGACACTGATTCAGATGACACAGCCTTCAATGTTGAAACAGTTGGAACTATATGTGATAATAATAAAGGCAAACTAATGGTATCACTGCACTTACAAAACACCAGTTAAGCGGTCAAGGCGGTAAAATGTCAAATAGACACAGGTGCTTCATGCAACGTGATGTCATATCGAGACCTGCAAACACTGGAAGGTACAGACAGGCCGAATATGAGACCTTCATCAACAACACTGAAGATGTATAATGATAAAGCAGTTGCAGTAAAAGGAGAGATTACCATAACCTGCCGACATGATAAGCAGAAGTCAGAAGTAACCTTTAAGATTATTGACACCACACAAGCACCGCTGTTATCAAGCTCTACATCAATAGAAATGGGTTTGATACAAGTAGCAAAGCATATTAATCAGATTCAAAAGAAAGATAGCAGTCAATAACTGGAAAAGAAAATACTAAAACAATACCCTGAAGTGTTCGAAGGTCTTGGAGAACTACCGGGAGAGTATCACATTGAAATTGACAGAAATATCACACCAACCAAGCATCCAGCCAGGAAAATTGCAGTTGCAATGAAAGGAGATGTAAAACAGAAACTGCAAGAATTAGAGGCCAGGAAGGTGACAGAAAAAGTCACTATCCCTACAGACTGGATCAGCAATATGGTGGTCGTGAGAAAACCAGGCAAGTTACGAATCTGTTTAGATCCACGTGATTTGAACATGGCCTTTAAACGTCCACAATACCCTATGCCCACAGTTGAAGGAATTTTTCCAGAGCTAACAAATGCAAAGGTTTTCTCCGTACTGGATGCCAAGGATGGTTTTTGGCAGGTGAAGTTAGATGGAGCAAGTAGTGAGTTACTGAGTGAGTTTGGAAGGTACAAATGGTTAAGACTTCCGTTTGGAATTAATACAGCTCCAGAGGAATTCCAAAGAAGGCAGCATGAATTAATCGAAGGATTAAAAGGAGTACAAGTTGTGGCAGATGACTTCTTAATATATGGCTGTGGAGAAACCATGGAGGAGGCGATTGTAGACCATGATACCAAATTGACCAGTTTCCTTGAAAGAGCAAAGAAAGTAAATCTGAAGCTGAACAAGAGCAAAATGAAACTTAGGCTAACAGAAGTCAAGTATATTGTACATATACTAAGTTCAGAGGGAGTGAAAGCAGACCCACTCAAGGTCAAAGCCATCAATGAGATGCCTGTACCAGACGACAAGAAAGCAGTACAGACGCTGATAGGCTGTGTAACCTATCTTGCTAAGTTCTTACCTAGGCTATCCCATGTAGCGGAACCATTGAGAAGACTCACAGACAAGGAGGCACATTTTTGACTGGATGGAGCATCACATAGAGGCATTCAACAAGATAAAGCAGATGTTGACTACAGCACCTGTACTGCAATACTACAACATCAAAGAAGAAGTAACAATACAATCTGATGCCTCAGAATCAGGGTTAGGTGCTACTCTACTACAAAATGGACATCCAGGAACATTCGCATCCAGAGCATTAACAGGAGCAGAAAGAAATTATGCTCAAGTAGAAAAAGAGTTACTCAGTATACTGTTTGCTTGTGAAATATTTGATGAGTACATCTATGCCAGGGAATTGATCATGGTACACACGGATCATAAGCCTTTAGTAGCTATACACAAGAAGCCTATATCCAAAGCACCAAAGCGATTACAACGGATGCTGCTAAGGTTGCAGAAATATAAATTGGACATCCAGTATTTGCAGGGCAGTAAGATGTACATAGCGGATTGGTTAAGCAGAGCATACTTACCATGCAGCTGACTACATCAATGTTAGTAAGACAACCCAGTACCTGCTGAAGCAAGCAACAGCTAGGGACAGTCAAAGCCAAACACTGATGGAGATGATCAAGAACGGTTGGCCAGAGACCAAAGCAGAAGTTCCGATCAATATTCGAGAACACTTTAATTATCGAGAAGAAATAACAGCTCAAGATGGTGTCTTATTCAAAGGACAAAAAATCGTGGTACCTACCGAGATGAGAAAAAATCTGTTGCAAAAGACTCATTCAAGCCCTCTGGGTGCTGAAGCATCAATTCGAAGAGCTAAAGACAGTTTATTCTGGCCAGGAATGTCAGCAGACATCAGAGAAATAGTAGACAAGTGCTAGATCTGCCAAACTTACCAAGACAAGCAGAAGAAAGAGCCAATGATGTCATACCCTATTCCTACCAGACCATGGGAAATAATCTCTCAAGACATACTTACGTATAAGAAAAAGGATTACCTTGTAACAGTAGATCACTACAGTGATGTGTGGTTTCTGGATGAATTACAAGATCTAACATCTAAACCAATCATTGAATGCAGCAAAACGCACTTCGCTCTACAAGGAATACCATCAACACTGATCACAGACAATGGGAGACAGTGGGTTAGCCGAGAATTTGCTGAATTCACAAAGACATGGGAGTTCAACCATGTGACCAGCTCTCCCTATCACAGTCAGAGTAATGGGAAAGCAGAGGCAGCAGTTAAGATTGCCAAGAAACTGATCAAGAAAACTTTTAAAGAAGGATCTGATCTATGTAACCTTGCAATTCTCGACTGGAGAAACACACCAAACGATGCAGGACACAGCCCAGCAAACGACTGTTGTCTAGAAGAACAAATACACTTTTGCCAGTAACAGAAATCCTTCTACAACCACAAGTAGTTACTGTAGTCTCAGAACACATTAAGAAAAGAAAACAGATATCAAAACTACAGTATGACAAAAGTGCAACAAACTTGTCATTGGGGAAACTGTCAGACTCCGGCCTGAAAACAACAACCAAGAGTGGCAGACAGCAACCTGCACGAAAAAAGTAGGACCTCGTTCTTACTTAGTAGAAACTACAAATGGCAAAGTTTATCGTCGCAACAGAAAGTTTCTACGCACAACACCAGCAAGAGACATTGCTAAAACAATGCCAACAGTTGCACCCGACAAATCAAACATCACGTCCACAACGGACATCCCAGTACCAGCAACACCAAATGGAACAAGTGACAAGAGCACAGTAAACCAACAACAACCATTAACTGGAAAACAAACAGAAGTTTCAACACCAATCATACCAACTCGGCCCAGAAGAACCATAACTATGCCGAATCGATTCAAGGACTTTGTTACAAAGTTCTAGCAGAGAGTTTCTCCTATGTTCGTGTTAATGTTTAAAAAATAAAAAATAAAAAAAAAATAAATAAAAATAAATAAATAAATAAATAAAACAAATAAATAAAGAGCATACATGAATTAATAATAGATATCATCAGCATTATAAAGAGGATGGCACATAGAATTCATATGAAACTACAAATCGGCACATAAGAAAATACATGTAATGCAAACAGGCATATAGAGAAGTTCTGTTAATTAATACCTTGATCACATAAACATGCAAGTAATTATGCTATAGTTCAAAATAAATAAAAAAAAAAACATTAAAAGAAAATAAAGAAAGTGAGATGTTGTATGACGTACATAACTTATTCCCTGTTGTCACATACAGCCGCCGTGTGGCGCTGTTTAGTGTTGAGTTGCGAATAAAACGGTTGTCAAGCAGACGGCCATTGAGTTATTACAATCTGGTTTTAGTGTCTTCCATTATACTTGTTATTGTAACAAACAACACAATGGAAGCATTGATTACAAATATCACAGTATATTCCAAGCTGATTTTTGGTAATTCAGATGTTTGTGGGCAGAGATACGGGTATTTTGCTATAAAATAAGATGTACTCTGGCTGTACAGCGCTCTTTCGTTAAAAACTGGGTCATTTATGCATTTATGTCAACAATTTTCAGGCATATCTTCTTGACTCACGAAAAGCCCCCCCCCCACCGTCGGGAAAATCCTGGCGCCACCCCAGGACGTTTATCCCTTCACCCATGATCTGCGCCCAAGGGTGCATTGGAGTCCGCCACCTCAGCCCCAACATGTTTGGGGCTGATCATGCGAAAATTTTGAGAATATGGACCTCTGGGTGCCCGGAAATTGCACTCTCATGTACCTTAAAAATCTTACCAATAATTCATATCAACAATATAATACAATAATTATTTTTCTTAATACAATTTAGGGGGTACGATCGCACCCTCTGCACCCCCTGCATCCGCCCCAGACGTATAATGTTTGAAACTATGAATATAACTTTAATTGCAACGTATATTATTAAAATTATGAATTTTAATAAGTGTATGGAAAATGATTAAGAACATGAATAAATGTGACTTTGCCACAAAAGAGAGAGAGAAAAAACCTTACTGTTGTAATTGTGAATTATGATTGTAGCGGTGCCATTTCTCAAACCTTTTTCAGCGTACGCTGTGAATACACCGACTCGGGTGTGAACATGGCGGTCACCTGATGTGCAACAAATTTTAGCTGTACAGGACCTATGGTCACAATTACAATCAACATATTGATGAACATCACCATTCACTGTATTATCACCATTGTTGCAAAGTTCTTCTCCTGTAAAACGATTCTGCATATTGACTAACCGATTAATGCTGAGTGTGATTTTGCTTGAATTGTCGGAACCAAGACTGAAACCACTAATATCAGTTTCTTCATTCCGCTTAACAGCAGGAGTTGAAGTGAGACCTACCATATTCAATTTGACCTCACTATCATCACCTAAAGCATATGCAAATAAGTTAGAACAATTCATAAAGCTATATATGTATGTATTTCTACATAAATACTTTGATTATAAACTTTATAGCATTCATTAGATTTCAGGGCAAAATTATTCTAGACCGAGGCAAATGGATAGTACAAGCTATTTTTTGTATTATGAAAATAAGGTAGAGAGTGATTTAGGAGTGATAGCCTTGAGGACGACCAAGATGGAAAAGTGAAGAAAATGGTACTTGGCATTGGCTTTAATGGTAATGGTAATGGTTGGAGACTTATATAGCGCAAAGTACATGGTCTCTGTGCGCTTTATGATGATTTCGAAATACTTTCATAAAGATAATTGAAAAGAAAATCGGTTTTTTTTTTTTAAATAGTTTTCGGTCTTCGTTGTATACACCCAAATGGTGTCTACGAAACTAAGACCTTGGTTATTTCTCTATTCTTCACATTATTTCCATGTAAACCATAACAAGTTTAATAACAATACATTTAAATTGTTATTCTTACCAGTAGAATATCCAACAAGGAATAATAGCAGAAACCACACTTCCTGTTAAAATAATATATTTGAGAGATATTTAATGGTTGTCACTAAATATTAAGTCTGTCTGTGCCGCTTCATAATGCATAGTGCATTGCATTTCATGTTCTTTGGGAGCGCCATAATATAATTGGCTATAGGCAAGTGTGCAATGGCGGATTTGATGGCCTAGTATACTTCCCCACCACCCCCAAACCCCACCCCACCAATAATTTTTATTTCAAAATCATAAAAAAAAAAGGTGAAAAAGGTGCCATGATCACACCTTTTTTTTATGGACGCTCCATTTATACAATTCCACACCTATAGTCTCCCTCCATTTCGAATTCCTTGATCGGCCATTGAGTCTAACTTGGTTTTTAAATAGTTCTTCAAAATTAATTTTATGAATTTTGTAAGATAATCTATACGGCCAGAGTGAAGGACGCGCAGTATGACTTGTTCAACTCTATAGCATGGAGGTACAGTTCGCTCGCCAATTTGAGAAAATTCGGGGCGGTCTTGGGATTCAGTCTTCACCTTATAGACGGTTAATAGCTAGGCCTATGTGTTGAAGACTTTGTTATTTGATAAATGGTCTCCAATTAGAGGCTTATCGGAATTAAAGGGGTCGCAAATTGGAGGGTGCACTGTTTAAACATTTATGACATATTAAATATCGCTGGGCAGCTCCAAAGGTAGCCATGGATAAACTTGATGCCTGCCACCGCAAACACCTCCGTGTTATCACAGGTCACCGATGACCACACAGCCCCATTTCAAATGGTACTTTATACAGCATGTGCAACTACTACCCAATTGATGTGGTCCATGTTTGGACATGTGCTACGAATGCCAGAGAACACACCTGCACAAAGAGCTCTAGAATTTGCTGTAGTTGGATCCAACAATTAGTACCAAGCTCGCAAAAGGCGTAATTGTTAATAAAATAATGCATAGATTGAATGTAGCAACTATGTGTGCGCTGAACCGTGAAAACCTTTAAGCAACCTTGGTCTCCTGTTAAAAAACCCATCCGCTCTGCTATCCTTGTTTTTACTGTATGGCTGAAATGCAACTGAGTCTCATTAGCGCAGTCTTTCGGATGAGACGTTTACACCGTAGACTAGAAATTGCAAATTGCAAGTGAAGTGCTGCGAAGTACAACTGCATATAAATGTTCTTCGAACAAAATTATTTATGCGAGTCAAGTGAAAATAATGAATAATAAAAATATAACAAATAATATGAGACACGACCCATGGCCTATAATTAGAACACTTCTCATTGGGTAACAAAGTCGTAATTTTTCATTTTTGTCAAAAAGTGTCTATAGTGGTGAATTATGGTTTAGGTTTTTTTTAAATAAAGTTTCAAAAATTTCTATGTATGTGGAAAATGTAGTTGATTACCAAAGGTTACAATTTTTATTTTGAAGACTGCATGGTCTAGGAAGTGTAAATTTTTTTATGAGGCAAGTTTCCAAGGGTGTGTTTTCTAGGGGCGAGTTGAGTGCCAAAGAGTGTTGCCAAAGTGCGAGCCAGCGTGTTATTTGATCACAAGTGTGAGCCAGCGAGCCATGACGTCACGACAATAGATACGAGCAGGGTTGCCATTTGGCCTTTTTGACGGCCAGATTCCTCAAATCTGGCCGTATAAAAATTTGCCTGGCCGTAACGTTTGAAAAGTCACGGCCAAACTATATTTGGCCGAATTTTTGAAAAGTTTACATTTTTTTCAATATAGGCCTAATATAACGTAGACTTGTTTTGGATATGTTGTGTTTGTTAGCTTAAATTCTATGTTTGATTCTAAGCATGTACCTTTTGTTTGTACTTGCACTTAACACTTAATCTAGGCCTTATGGTACACGGACCCCTAGCCGATTTGACGTAAGAGAGTTTATTTAAATGATAACAGTTACATTTAATTCGGATGAAATATATATATATATATATATATATATATATATATAATTTAGGCCTATATGAAGTTTATACTCGTTTAAGCTTTAATGAGGACAGTTCAATGCAAGTTTGTACCATATAGGGTCTATTGTGTGTCTTTGTATATGTACCATCCTAGTGGAATTTCTATCTCTTTTGAATATAAATTAAATACTGTAGGCCTACTTTAATTAATTTATTATTGCCCACTTGAATTGTATAGGACTAGGTCTGCAGTGCGCCATATAAATGCTCGATGTGATCATTCTGGTCCGATGGCCATCTCCAATTTCAAACAAGCGTCGCAGATTCTTCGGTTACTCTGGAGTTAGGTTGTATAGGAGAATGAAGAAGATAATTCTGATAGCAACATTGATTTATTGCTTTAAGTACTGCGACAATAACATTCAGAATCGAATTTAGAAAGTTTACATGAAAAAAAAGTATTTATTAAGGTTTTCATAGGTTTGTTTTAACGCCAGTTTGTGTTACCTAATGTAACTTTCATTATAATTAAAGAGAGCCACGGATTTGC